TGGTTATGAGGCTTTACGATGCCACTGCACCAAAATGTAAAAAGCTGTCTCTCTCAGCCGTTGGTTTCCCTCCACAGACTTAAAGCAGCAACAAAGCAACTAGGCAGAGAGAGAGAGAAAGAGAGAGGTAGGGAGAGAGAGAGAGATAGAGAGAGACAGAGGGAGAGAGGGAGGGGGAAAGAGAGAGAGACTGGGGATGTGGTTGCCATAGTAACCATCTGGTGGGTCTGAACTGTTTCTCCCTGGCATTCATTTCATCATATCGTGCCTCTGTTTCTCTTCCTCTCTCTTCCTCTACTCTCACTTTTGTTTATCCCTCTCTTTTCCTCCTTCTCTCCTGGCTCTCCATCTCTCTTATCTCCTCATCTCCCTCTCGTGCCGCTCTCCCACTCTCTTCCGATCTGCCTCCTTCAGCTCTCTTCACTTTCCTTGGAAAACAGAGACAGAGGTATAGAGAGAAAGAGGGAGAGTTTCATGTTTTGTACCACCCTGTGCAATGTGCTTTGTGACATGGTCATGCCAATAAAGGTTCCTTTGAGTTGAAACGTTAATGTCTGTTTGTCTGTTTTTATAACTCTGTCCTGAGAGTCCCATCTGGACTCTTAACCTTTTTTCTTCAGACAAGCACAATACATGACGACAATCTGCACTGTGCCAGAATCTGAGTGCCGTTCAGGTTTTAGGAGATAAAAAAGCTGGACTGATATGTGAGAGGGAACTTGCTTGAAAGATTGACGTCATCTGCAATCATAACTTTGCTGCAACAAAAATGGGTTTTACCATCATATCATAAGCAGGGTTGGGTTTTTTTTTCTCTGGTCAAACTCTATGATTCAGCTCTGCCAAAACAAACTTGATGGAAAAAAACCCACTCGGGAGCAGGGTGAATATTCTGGTGTTGTGTCTACGGGGATATTCATTTATTTTTTCAACCAGGACTGCATTTCCCCTTTACCTCTTATCAGCTGTCGCCCTTGTGAATTCCCAGCAGAGTCTGAATCAGCGAGAGAATACCTGATCCCAATGCCAATTGAGCTGGCCCACCACACACACACACACACACACACACACACACACACACACACCGTACACACACACACACACACACACACACACACACACACACACACACACACACACACACACACACACACACACACACACACACACACACACACACACACACATACGGGAGTGTGCACACAGATATGTGCGTACAGCTATGCACGTACGCCAAACATCTGAATAAATAAACAAACATCTGCACATCTAAGCATACAAAAAGATATGCACATGTGCAGTGGAATGAAATGCAAATGTTTCCATTTGCATGCTGTACACATGCCATTACTGCCTGCATCATATAAAGCCCATTGATTCGCACCAAGAAGGAGAGGAGGTGGTTTTCCCAGTAAGTGGTTTTGCATGTGAGGTCACTGCGGGTATTTCCCTGCGGCGACACAAAGGTCAAATCCAGGAGTCAGGAGGAGAGGGTTTTCTCAATGACAACTGAGAGTGGGTACAGTGTGTGTGTGTGTGTGTGTGTGTGTGTGTGTGTGTGTGTGTGTGTGTGTGTGTGTGTGTGTGTGTGTGTGTGTGTGTGTGTGTGCAGCTAACAGGCAGTTTGCAGGGTGTGGTTTTCCTCTCTTTTGTCTGTGCTCTCACCAGCCTCCTTCATGTTTTTCTTCTTATTTTTTCTTTTTCCTCTTCCTTGCTTTTCTTCCTGGCTCTTATTTGTATTCTTCTTCCCGTGCTCTTCNCGCCGGGGGCGGTGGGGGAGGAGCGCCACAAGCTCACTGGTGTCTCGACATAGTTATCGAACCGCAATGGATCGCCGACTGAGCTGCAGAGCGACTCTCTCAATCAGGGGGAACGTATATAGTGCGAAGAGCGGTAGACACTCTTCTCGCGCGCTCAGGGGGGGGAGTACAGTGGAGTACTTCAGGAACGTTGACGGGGCCAGAGCGTGAACGTTGTGATCAGCTGATTTTGCCCAGTTCTCCGGTGTGTGCGCGGGGACACAATGTGCTGAGGGGAGTCTCCCTCCGCAGCCGGTTGACGTAGTTGCGTTGTACAGACGGACGTTACCAGCAGCCCCGTCTGTGCACACGGACACCGAATACTTTCATTTCATTTAATCGTTTATTTGTATCGTATTATTTGGCAGGGACAATGCACAGTAATGAACACTTAAAACATTCTAATGTATCAAGCGTATATATATATATACATATATTATACGAATATAGACTCCAAGTCCCAGAATGCAACTGGGCTCTCACTCCTTACTGTCCTTTCACATGCAACCTGTGTGTGTGTGTGTGTGTGTGTGTGTGCAGCTAACAGGCAGTTTGCAGGGTGTGGTTTTCCTCTCTTTTGTCTGTGCTCTCACCAGCCTCCTTCATGTTTTTCTTCTTATTTTTTCTTTTTCCTCTTCCTTGCTTTTCTTCCTGGCTCTTATTTGTATTCTTCTTCCCGTGCTCTTCTACTACACCTGTCAGAGCTTATGTAACATCACAGCCACCCAAATCTTGACCTGCCTCTGCTCTGTTTTACAGCACCAGTAATTACCCTCTCATCAGTTCTCACTACAAAACCCATTTTCCACGATCCACCCTAGTGAGTCTGGTGACTCACTAATGTAATACTTAGCTTCCCATTACATATATGATAATAATGGAGGGTCTCTTGACTCTTCAGTGTCAATTGGAGTCTTTTCAAGCAGTGATTGTCACCCAGCCCAAGTCTGAGCTTGTACAACATCTGGTTCATCTGTGTAATGATGACTACAGCTTTCGAACTAAGCATCACATTGTTTGCGTGTCAACCGTCACATACTGTAAGATGTATTTATGTTTACATATAAATACGTGGCACATATGTCAGCAGGATATGTGCTATATAATCTAAATTCACAGAGAAATATGTTGCTGTCAATAGAGAGGGAGATGTGACAGTGAGGAGGTGGATCTTTGTGATGTTGAGTCAGCACTCACACCTCAAAACATATTTCTGAGGAACAAATGAGAAATGTAAATGGATCATAAGGTAGATTGCACCAGATTGTCAGTCAGGGAGAGGTGAACATATGTAAAATTAGATACTTTGTAATAGATTGAATTCTAAAGACTCTGTCTGGAATTGACAGGATTGTAGATTTGTTATTTATATATAATTTGAAGCCCAATGTCACTATGCACAGCAGTATGTGTAACCAGCCTCAGTTCTTTCTCTGGAGACATGATTATAATAACAAGAATGTTCCAACAGACTATTGATCAGGAAAAACTGAAAAAGAGCATTTGATAAACTCCAGAATTGCTCTCTCTCTCTCTCATTATTTTTCTCATTCGGTTTTCTTTCCTTTTTTATATCCTTTCTGAATTGTTGAATAACATGTATTGATAAAAGACTGCATATTAAAGACTGATCAAATTGCTGTATTTAAGCTGCAAACTATCCCTGATGTACTGTATATTCTAACTTCTCAATAAGGCAAATAAAACTGTAACAAAAAACAACAACTCATACATTTAATTAATGTCTGAGGTCTTACCTTTATAGACCAAACAATTACAAAAAGTAATTAGTAGAGTAAAGAGTATAATTGGTTTTCCAGCCTAGTAGAAAGCATTTGAAGCACGAGGTGTTCCAGTTCCCAACTTCAACACATAGTCATCATCAGTAATATAATTATTGTGGACATCAGGGAATTTGAGAACTTATTTAACTTTTAAACTTGATATGAACCAATTGAAACAGTATATAGATTAAACCATTCCAACTGTCAGAGGAGAAGAGTGATATTGTTTAATTCTGCTGTACAGTAAAGCTTATTATGATCGATATTTCTTGACACACTGCGAAGTGTTATGAAATTGCAGTTTGAGGCTTTGTTTAGAAAAAACACTGATCTAGTGACCGTGGCATGCATTCATGTGACACATGTTCCTGTTGGATCATACAGTTCTTCTGTGTTTGTCATGGTTGTTGAAAAGTAGTCTAGTTTTGCAGTATTTCTGAATGATGCACCTGCAAGTTGTTCATTTAGTGGGGGACTCTTTGGCCTCATTTTAACTCTATTGGCTGTCTTATGTTATCTAGGAAATCCACTCGTCTCTTAAAAGCTTTGCTAAAGGTGACACATCGCTATTGAACTTAAAATGAGTTACATGTGCAGCTGAAAACTTTGCATTTTAAATCAATTATATCTGCAGGACTACGGCAATTGGCTTTTCTGCTGTATGCTACTTGTAAAGTCCTGCATGTTCAACTGTGTGTGAATAATATGACTCTCAGAGCCAAGCTCCATCCGATCACATCAAGCCTTCCCAGCTACATTTTGGGTCTTAGGATCCTCCGAACGGAAAATCATACACTATTGCTCCCTAAATGTAACATGCTCTCATTCTGCGTGAGGGGATAGGCTGTTACTGCAGTAGGCGCCATCGTCATGCTTGACTGCCGTCTAGGAAGAAGGGACTATTTTGGCAGGATAATGCGGTCGCGCTACTGAGTGAATAGGGGTCTTGAGAGAAGAGGGCAGAGATAAGAGAATGGAGAACATTCCATTAAAGATAGCGATGGTATCAAGCCGAGGTTCAGGGAAGACTATTCTGCACCGCAGCAGCCATGGAGTGCAAGGTGCATCTGTTACCATGGTACCCAGCCCAGGCAGACCCTTTCATGTCTATCAAGACATGGGAGGAAGAGAGGCTAGCAATATGTTAGTCTCGCCTGCAGTTGGAGCTGAAACAGACGTGTGTGTGTGTGTGTGTGTTTGGTGCATGTATGTGTTCCCAGCACACATCCCGGTGGTCCGGGTTTTAGATGCTGTACACTGACAGAGGCTCGTCAGGCAACATGAATCATTTAGTCACCACAGCAGAGTTGGAAATGTCACGTCACATCAGTGTTCCTCACGCCTGGGTGGCCCTGCACCATTTACATCACTGGCAATGGACTTTAAGAGAGGACTTGATTAAAGAGAAGAGCTGAGATTTCAGATGCAAACAGACATTTATTGCATTGGGAAGCAGTAGTGTACATTTTCCCCCCCCACAGAATAAATCGCAATACTGTAGCTACTTTCTTAGATGGTAGTCTGTTGCACAGTCATCCGAGCCATGTCTCTCCCTAAAACAAACCGGAGAGTGAAGATTTCAAATTATTGAATCATTTCTTTCTCCTTCCAAATCTGATCCGTCCAAAGAATGTGATGCTACTTCTTGTATTGACCATTCTTTTAAGCCAGAAATGCAATGCAATAACACAGGGAACTGTGTACAGAGAGTACATATCCAAAAGTCAGCCAAGCTATTTGCTATTGTCTTTGTCTTTTTGATACAAAACTATATTTTTTGTTTTTGCTACACTTTTCAAAAACAATAAAAGCAACATCTAGTACATCATTATTTAAACCACAATCAACATTAAACAGTAAATAGTACTTTGTCATAATCTTTATTACAAGATATTAGGCCACTGTACAAATCAGTGTGAATCGTACAGTACAACGCAGAATTAAGACTGTTTCTCGAGGTTTGTCATTCAAAGCTGTATACGAGGTGCTTCAAGAATACACAAGAGTTTCAGAACTTCTGCCGTGCATGCATGATTTCGTATTTGCCATGCATGAGTTGGTATCTCAGTGTTTTTGAGAAAGAGCCCTAAAAAATGGCAACCCAACAAAACAATGTATGAGTAAATGTATAAAGCACAAATAAAGAACAATTTTTCTGGTACAGTATTCTCCCTCATGAGATTTGGCACACACAATAATGCTAAATGCAATATAAATAGTTTATCAATAGGATGTGTAGAGTCAAGTTACAGTATCAACCAATCCAGGTGAAAGCCTGGGAAGCTTACAAACAGGTGGGAGGTACACTGTATATAAATGATTTCTTTAGCTGCAAAGTATAACAAATAACACTCAGGCAACATCAAGAATTGTTAAGTGAAGAAAAATGTCACTCCCATTCACTCAAAGTTTTCTCGACATACAAAATAACACTCCCTCTGGCCTTGAGTCACTGCAAAAGACATGTTCCAAAGGATCAATAAATAAAGTCTTCAACACAGAGAACAAACCAGTTTACCTCTTCCCACTTTGTGCAAGAAAATATGGGCTACCCTTTCCATATTTACAAACTCTGTTATTCATTTGCCCACCAATAAAAATGAAGAGCAGAAAGAATGGTACCATAAGTTTGATTGATAAGATATAGGAGAAATGTGTGCTTTAGTTTTTATATTAGATTTATTTCTGTATCCTGTCCCTGATTTCTGCATTTCGACAGCCTTCCTCCGCCTCGTCCACCCCCCCCTCCCCTCTTCGTGTTGTCTTCTCCTGCTTTTGGATTTATGGCGAAACCCTGCAATCGAGGGTGTATTTGTTTGTGTGAGTGTCTGTGTGTGTTGGGGGGGTCCATCTGGGGGTCTCCTCTGCTGCCATTGTGTGTCACCCGGATGGCCATGACTGACTGGGAGAGGAGGGCGTGGAAGTGCTGCTTGCTGCCACATGAGAGAAAGTGCTTATATACAGTGTCTTTGGATTAAAACTGGTAAATATCGCCATTAAAAAATGTCAAGAGTGTCATTTGGGGGGTGTTGAGCCGAGCGCTCTAAGCCTCCGCCGGGGTCTTCTCTGTTCCATTTTTTTGTGCTTCGTCGCCGCCATTCTCATCATCGATCACAACTGTGGATGACAGGGGAGAGAGTTAATGAGGGAGGCTCATCTTGGTGTTGCGTCTCGAAAAAAAATCACCACCGTCTGACATGGAGGGCATTAAAGCCCAGAACCATTAGCACTGCGCTGTATGAGCAGGTGTGTGTGTGTGTGTGTGTGTGTGTGTGTGTGTGTGTGTGTGTGTGTGTGTGTGTGTGTGTGTGTGTGTGTGTGTGTGTGTGTGTGTGTGTGTGTGTGAGAGAGAGTATGCAACAACAAAAAAGATAAAGAAAGATAGTGTGTCTGATGCATGGTCATGACTGTCTGTATCTCTGCTTGTGTTCTTGCTGTGAACCTATGCACATTACATGACTTCCATGTTGGTCCATGCTTGTGCACTACTGGACGTGCAACTGCCTGTGCATGCATGTGCCACCATGTGCCACCACAAGTGAGCCTCAATGTTAGAGGACCATCTCATGGGGTTCATCAGAGATGCAGGACACACAAAAGCCAAAACACGAACAGCCTGTGAGCCTCATGCAAACACAAAAAAAAACAGATTACAACCCATATGGATCTCAATCATTCCAACCATTCAGTCGGGAGGGGACATTTAGCATAACTCTGTTAAGCAGCATTCACAAGGCATTTAACAGCACGCAATGCGCATCCAACTTGTGTTGCAATGCGAATCGAATATTTAAAAGCACATACATCCCACACGCATGCAAACAAAAGGTAATGTCGTTGATGTTAGGCTCTACTGGAGAACAAAGTCAAGGCAAAGGTGTTGCCTTTATGCCTTCACACGGAGCCATCCTTAATTATGATCCACTAGTATCCTATGTGCGCATTCAACACATCAACTTACTAACGAAAACGCCTTAATTATATAATTACCCCGTTTGCTCCTTCCTATTTGTCCGAGTTTCGGCGGACGTTTGTTCTGAGATCCATTGAAGAAGTTGTTGGTGTCTTGAAGACGACAGGTGAAGGAAAGGTGTCCCTCATCGCCCTCATTTCCATAATGACTCATTTTGTCTTCGTTGAAAGGCAGCACTTCCGACATCTCCAAATGCGCCTTAATCACCAAGGCGCACAGACTGTAATGTAAAGCTCGTTGCCAAGCTTCAACCCGGTCGTCTATAACAAACAAAAGCGGTGAAGGAAAAACACAAAGCTATCTGCTGACACGATCTAGCCCTTTCTGTTTACCCCGAAGACACGTGTCTGTCTCCGTAGGTACGCAACAGAAATAACAGTCAACTCAAAATGTCCTCAATTTCCCCTCTCGTGGAGCTTAGGCAACATTATTCAAAATATCCAGAGGTGTTTTATCTCTGCGCGTATTGCTTTGGAAATGGAGGCGCACGTACTACAGAGCCGTGGAACGCCCGCTGGTTTCGAGCGGCTGAATCCGTCGCACGGAAAATCTGAGGAAGAAATGCAAATTGAGGAGCGATGCAAAACACGGATCCCTGTGAGACCTGGCGAGGGAGCTGTACGGGGGTTTTCTGGTGCAGCCCAGAGATGCTTCCAGTTGGAGTCGTGGTGAACCAATGCTCCACTCTCCGGGATCTTGATGCATCAAACAAATGGCGACTTAATATTCAGAGATGGCACATAAATGTGAACCAATACTGATCTTTGGTTGACGTCGTTCACGCGCCACCACTCGACGAGATTGAGATGTGAAATGTTCCAACCTGTATTACAATTTGACAAAATTGTCGAGTAATTTTGTCAGGGGGGTTTCAATCAAGCCCACCTAGTCAAACCTCACCAGAGGATGGCAGTGTTTTCATAGGCTGAGATGTGAGTTTTGGCCCCATGGCGTAATTCCATTTTAACACCACCATTTATAGTTGGGTCAAATCCAATCTCCACGTTCTGGATTTGATGTTGCTCTAAATTTGACTCAATAACTTGTTCAGATCACTTTGTAAAACGTCATATTCAGATGTTTAAAAAATAATGGAATATTCCATTTGGTAAAATGACCATCCACTGTATATTTGTATTGATTAGATGATAATTCAAATGTTGATAATATTGTGTTTCGTTCTCTAACTATAGGTGTAAGTCACATGGTAAAAACTGATTTTCCTTGTTAAAGGAAGTCCCCTGGGACTGTCTTTAGGTTGGAAACTAATCCTCATTGGGCTCACCAGAGTCACCACCCACTGCTCTCTGTAGTGTTTACTTGAATTGTTCTTCTAGGAACTGCAGCACAAAGGAATCCTTCAAACGTGATATATAGCAAAGGGCAAGATGCCATGTACAGGCATTAAGGAACTTAACCATATCATTTCACATACAATTAAATGAAAGGTGATATTGGAGCCTGCAGCAGAACTAACTTTGATATACAGTCGACTATTCATAGAGGAGGCACAGTCATGACACACCTGATCCCTGTGGACTCACAGAGGCCAAGGTTTTATCAGCTTCATATCAGAACAATTCAATAAGAACTCTTTCCTGGTACACAACTATTTTCACATGTGGATATATTACCATCTACATTCATTTGTATTCACTTGACCAAAATAGTTGTCTGCAGAGCTTTATGTAAACAAAGTGGAAAAATGTACAGTTTACACACACAAAAAGTCTAATACCAAAAACATCATGACCAGAGAGATGAAACTTGTAAGAAGGGCACAGTGGGAAAAACAATGTGTGTATAAGTAGTTTTTCCGTAATCTCGCTGACAAACAGACCAACACATCAACAAACCAAACCTAAAACATTTCTCCATAAGGCAGTGACAGAGGCCTAGGAAAATATAAATGACACAACTATCATCAGTGTGATTACAAAAAAGAAAAAAGCCAAACTTGAACCAGCAAGTAGAGCACCGAAACCCCAAAATAAATATTTTGTGTTTCGAATAAACAAAACGGTAGTAATCTCGGCAGAAGATTTGGTTAAAGAAAGCAGCAGATTGGAAAATTCGGTTTTCAGGGGCCTTTAATACGCACCAATGAAAACATTTACAAAAATCTGACTTGAAGTTGACTGTACACATGCACCACTCAACTCTGACACAGAGCCACACATTCTCTAAATATGATTATTTATTGTCAAAAAATAGTATTTAAAGACCTTGACAATACTGGAGTATATACACAGGAGGCTTATAAAGTGCTCACTGTAGTGGGTCATACATTCTGTATGGTGGATCATTCAGATATGGGATGCATCTCCTTTATATTGATATTGAAAACATTATCAGAAAAATTATAGCTCTGCATATTTTCCACATAACCTTTGGTCAAAGAAACGTTCAGGGGAATGACCATTTTTTCTCACATACATCATGTTGGTTTATCATTATGTTCATCAGTATTTGCTACAGCGTGTGTGTAACCCGTAAATAGTTTGGTCTATCCATCGGCGAAACTTGGACACGGCAGAGTAGACTCCCGGAAACTTAGGATCACCGCAGCCGTTGCCCCAGGAGACCACGCCGTAGACATACCCCCTACACACCAGCGGCCCACCAGAGTCCCCCTGTAAGAACAAGACAACACCCACCGTCAGTTATCATGTCAAAACTTACGTCATGAAAAACACAAACAATCTTAGCTCAATGTAAAGCCAGTTTGATGATGGAGTTCCACTTCCTTGTCTTGAATAACCTGTCCAAGTAAAGTAAGTTCTTACTGCAGATCAAGAAAGATACTCAAGAGTACAGTGGTACATTTTAACTTAAAATAAGCTCTGGCTCTTTTTTAAGTAATCCTGTAGACAAACACAACAAACCAAAAACAAAACCTCCATAGTGAAACAAACCACAATTTATATGTGGATTTGTCAGATTTTCTGACCCATTACGAAAAGCATTGCTGTTTTCAAATATCAGGAAATCACATGTGCTTGCACGTAGTTCACCACATGTGAAAGATGTTCCACACAAATTATGACTTTATATGTTTCATGGCGACACATAACACAAAACAAACAAAGATCAACAGATGTGAGAAACCAAACTGTAATATCTTAGTATGGTTTCAATAAGACTCATCAAATCATAATCTCTTGCTGCCACTTGGAAAAGCAAACACATAAAGTTGCCTACTGCAGGGATAAATATAGCCCATTTTAATTAGTCATTCAGCTCTTTACCTTAGGCGAAATATAGCACACTGGTATATCTCACATTGCGTTTCATGCAATTTTCTTCTCACATCAAAGGTTGCATGGGGCAGAAATTCTTAAATGATACTGATAAACAAATCTGAGCATGAAGGTGTCTGTAGCTACAAAACGACTCCAAGGTATTCAGTCCTGGTGCTATTTCAGGGATGCTTTTTAATAAAAGCTTGTAGCTGAACCAACACTTAAATGATGAACTGTGTCCTTGTACTGTCATGGGGATGAACTTTATGAACTGTGAGAGTGTTTGGCTCTAATCTCAGCTGATGAAAAAAGGACAACCCTCAGCTATAACCTGAAACATATTACTTCAAAATAGATTTAATAGCTTTTCTATGATCAATGGGACGGATGTACATTGATGTGCAACACCCACTTACCTCACAGATGTTTAAAATCATCATAGTGAAAGGAAGTATTAAATCATTTGTTTCTCATACCTTGCATGCATCTTTCCCTCCGGTCCTGTAGCCAGCACAGATCATGTTTGCCGTGATGTTTCCATTAAAGGACTCGCTGCTGTTACACCTTGCAGTTGAAACAATTGGCACAGCGACGGTCCTCAGGGTGAAGGGGGCCTGGCCTACAGCCAGATTGTTGTATCCCCACCCGGACACCCGACACACCACGCCATCGATCACTCCTGTGCCCTGCCTGGGGAGAGGCGCCAGCGACACGTATTTGTTCAACACCATGGGGGCCCGCAACTAGAAAAAAATGTTGTTTTTCAAAATATTTGCTGTCATTAACCACTTTTAAAGGTTTTCAGCAAAGAACAAATTTCACTGTACAAAGCTGCCCGGCACTAACATACAGCAGGTAACAAAAGTTAGTGACTAGTTGTCAAAAAGTGTGAAGAAGGCACATTTAGCTGTGTCTGCTGGTGTTTCAATAGGACATGGTTAGCTACCACATTCAGCATGTCAACTTAAGATGATTACGTTTTTATGTTGTAGTTATAGGGTGTACCAAAGTGGCATCTTTCATTGATTTAGACTTTGTAGAAAGTATATGTTGTTGTTACACATTGCTTTGCCTACTGAATCACAAAAAGGCCTCTCATCATGGCAACGTCTGGTCATTGCGATGCAGTCGCGTACAGCAGAAATTGTGTGATTTTTTCCACTGAGATACAGAAGAGTTACATACATTATAGTTCCAACTCTGAGTATTATCAGTAATAAAGTAAAGAGGTATCATACACAGGTGAAATAATAGATATGATGTTATTTAAAACAAGAATAGTTTACCAAGCAATCACAAAATTGTTCTGCTGTTTTCCACCTCAACGTTATTAGTGACAGAAAGCAGAAATAAATAAACTAGTGATTGAGAAAACATTCATATAACTTAAATGAATCATGTTAAAAGTTTAGTAACATATTTTAACAAGGCACAAAAGAGACGAACTGTAGCTGAATACCAAAAAAGATATCCAAATGTATGTTACCACACATGAATCAATAAATGTTCATGTTAAGGGACGTGGAAAACGTGTCTGCATTGTGCCTGCGCTACCTTAATGAGCATGATGTCAGCATTGTTGGTGCTCCTGTTGTAGAGGGGATGGGTAACTACCCTGCGGGGTTTAGCGTACTGCTCAGTACCCTCAAAGGTATTTACAATGTAGTCGCCCGCCACTATCATCATGTGCTCGGCCCTGAAAGACAGATTCACAAAGACACATAATGGTAGAAGTGTCTGTCTGCCAGGGAACAATGGCTTACTGTGTGCAGCAGGCAGGGCCCGGGCAGTAAAACACAAAAAATACAGCCGATTTCCTATAAACAGATACGATCTCACACACACACACACACACACACACACACACACACACACACACACACACACACACACACACACACACACACACAAACACACACACTGATGATGTGTCAAGGTCAGCTGACTTGACCGTATTTGAGTACTATTTGACTTCCTATTGCCAGAATTATTTGTGCGTCATGATCAAGCGGCATCAATTTGACTGTTTGGACCATCTGTTCACAATATTAGATCAAGGCAAGTTAGCTTCTACACAGTGACGTCTATAGAGCCCAGCGCCAGAAGAATGTCCTTGCCTGTGCAGGTGCTACAGATACAGTTTGATCTTTACCTTCACCAAAGTCCGAACTGACTGTCAGGTCAAAGATTTTCTATTCAGGAGGCAAAAGCGCCTTGATTTTTGCTTCGTATTTCTTCCCTTTATCAAGCTTTGGTCTACTAAAATGTAGTCCCTGTCACACATCCAGTCCATCCCTGAAATGTTCAGGAACCTTTTCTTGCCTTGGTTCATGTGTGAATAGTAGCAGGGATACATATAAAGGTATATATCTGAAACATACATTTCTAACCTTAAGACCTAGTAACATATCGGTTGTGATGAGACTTAAATCAGTACCATTGCAAGGACAAGCACTTAAAAGGTAACATCTGTCTCTGAAAGGACAGAGCAAACCTATCACAAGACTCCAAGAACTCCTCGAAAACATAGGCAACAGACATAATTTGATGGTTACTCATCTTAAAGGTCTCCTATTATACTGTCTTTCATCAATATATTATAGGTCTCAGATATACAAAACATGTCTCTGAAATGTTTGGCTCGAAATACCAAACAGATCATTTCAGCATCCCATAATCCCCTCTGTTTCAGCCCTGTTTCAAAAGTGCTGATTCTCTGTCTGTTACAAAAGTTTAGATGAAAATAAGGAGCCCCTCCCCCCGCCCCTCTGAGGAGTATTTTGGTTAAAAAGAACACAATGGTGCTCTAGGAGGAGATTCAGGTGATAAGGATGAGTGGGTGGGGGGGTTACCTTGGTTTGTTATTAGCTAATGGTTACACAAGCCAAAAAATCGATATGACATAATAAAGCGGCCAAAATCTGATCAGCTCATTTCCAGACAGGTTTTCATATAAGTGGATCAGGACAAAAAGTGAGCGAATACTTTTTCCTGAAACTTTCAGAATCTCTTTACACAGAGGGGACACATGTTTATGTATAAAAGACATGACAAAGTGGATTTTGCATAATAGGTCCCCTTTAAGATGCCGTTTGGCTAGATCCAATCGGCATCAGGATTTTCTGTAAGAAACTTGATCCATCCAATCGTTGCTGAGATTAACTGACCATCATTTACATCCTTAGAACCAAGCCCGCTAACATGGTTAAAACATTGAAATCATAAAGTACCATGAAACCTTTCCACATGGAAATCAACATGGAAAGTGTTCACCAAACAATAACAGCATAAGGATCGACAGCTTGTTGATGGGAACTAAAGAAAGATCGTACCCGATGTTACAGTGCGCTGCTGTCAGCACCCAGTACCTGTGGACCAGGGATCCCCCGCAGAAGTGTTGGCCTCTGGTGCTCTGCAGTGATACAATGTATTTGATGGAGTTTGGCACAGCAGTGTGACCACCTACTATACGACCCTGCCTGACCACACGGCCTGTATGGAAACAAAAACATTTACAGGACAAGGTTAAGAGGGGCTGTGGCAGAAAGACGTTTTTCGCTTCTCATCCAAAAGGCCTCCTCACTTCTAACTGACAAGTGTTAACGTTTTTCAAAGTCAGAGCTAACAGAACTGATGGAGAGTAGAGATTAAAACACCTTTGCAAATACTTACTCCCCCCTACATATGTAAAGACACAGCACAAAACCTGTGATCAAACACTGAAAAGATTCTTCATGCTTCCAAGTAAATTTCTAAGCACCTAAATCAGCCTGTAGTAACAACTCCCTTGGTATGGATTTCAAGCATGCTAAAAAAAGTCCATCTTATGAAGCATGTGGAGTCTTGTGAACAAAGGAGAAACATAAAGAGTGAGGCCCTCACAATCCCCCCTTCAAGGCCATTGACCCGGCCTAACAATTAGTGGTTTTCTGTCACCTGGGAGGACGCTGCGCGATGAAAGTAATTCAATAACCTGACCTTCTAATGTCAACACCTCACTCTGGGCTCTGAAACATTAAAATGGAGGCTCTCGCAGCCTGCCTCTTGCAACAGATCAACTATTGTACATTGGCTTGAGGCCATGCAGTAGAGGAGACATGACGGGAAGGTGAAACTGATTCCCTACAGTTTTGGATGAACACTGTTGAGGAGTTACGACAGAAGCAGTGTAGCTATGTAAATCAATGTAAAGGGGTTAACATTATTTGCTCATTTGCTTTTTTTGCCACAATCTTGTTTTGTTGAATTAAAAAAAACAATAAATACAAAAATAATAAAATCACGGTTTATGAAGGGTTATGTGCCAGCCTGTTGCAGCGTAGACTAAATAAAGTTACTAATCCCAGCCAAGAAGTCTGGTCAACAACTGTCTGTTAAAGGCAGGTCGGAGCCAAGCTAACCCCCCTGTTTCCAGTCTTTATACTAAGCTAATCAAACTGGCTTTAGCTTCCATCTCACAACTAGGCTACCACAATATTAGATCAATTATGATTTAGAGATTATTATGATATCTAGCTATCTATAAATGATAATTATGTAATGAGTCAATTTCATCCTAAACTAAGTTTATTTTGTTTCTTTTTGGCAAATAAATGTTACTACTTATACGAGTGTAGGGAGGTAGGAAGTGTGACCATTACGGTACAAAAAAGATTAAAAGAGTCATTAATTACATGCATAATATTATCATTTGTGTGTTTTGAAAATGTTATCATATTTATTTCTAAATACTAGCGTTATCATCAATACTAGTTCCAATCACGTAGAGATGTATCTTTTCATCTCACTCGCTGCACAAAGAACCAAATTGTCATACTAATTAATATTCCTTAAATAAAAACTTTAAAACTCTATCAGGCCACCTCTCTAACATTATTTAAATCAAAACACCCTTAAACCACAGCTCATCCAATCTTTATAAATGAACATTACCAAAGCTGAAAGCCATATACTCACTGTGGACTGTCATGAGGTTGAGGAGCATGCAACATAAACTCATGAGCAGGCTCATCATCGCTGTGGTTTCAGGCCGTCGTCCTACACCATACCAGCAGCTGAAACACTGCAGCCCCACACCCAGTGTCCTCTGCTCCTGGCTGCTGGACATCCACTCCTCCTCCAAACAGTACAAGTCACTCACATCAACCTCTATCCTCGAGCTTCCTCAGAAAAAAAAAAGATTTTATCCTTCACCATGACATGGAGCACAAGGGTCCTACACTGTAGCATTGATTGAAAAGGAAAGAGTGCAACAAAGTTCACCTTCAGCACCCCACTCCCCCGCCCCGCCCCCCCTGCCATCCCAGCACCATCTCAACTCTCTCTCTCTCTCCTGACCCTCCTAACATGTCGAAAGGCCTTACGTTGTTGGCATGGCAACACAGGGTACTGTGCTGAGCAGGTTCATATATACTGTATCAGCACGCTTTGTCTGTGTCATCATCCAGCCTTATCTGTGCTGAAATGTTTCAATAGCCTACTGTGTGTGTGTGTGTGTGTGTGTGTGTGTGTGTGTGTGTGTGTGTGTGTGTGTGTGTGTGTGTGTGTGTGTGTGTGTGTGTGTGCGTGTGTGCGTGTGTGTGTGTGTGAGCACGGCTTTGTTATAGCTGTGGGGAGAATCACGTCTGAGTCAAGACAACACAGAGGTATTCTCTGCAGCCCAGACGCGCACAAGTGTTACTCTGTATGAGTATGAATCATCACGTCTGAAATGATAATAACTTACTATCACCAGACAGATCATCTTCTCTATTATCATCGCCACCAACCTCCTTCTGGCAAGTCAGCATCATCCACAGCATGGGAGGAGAAACTCGCCTGACCTCCTCTTGTCCCATATTTAGAGCAAGCTGAATAATTGATGCTTCACCCAGAAGAATGGGAGAGACGCTATTGTGTGGCCTCCCACTGCCAGGTGTTTCCTGGACCAACACTCGCCCGACTTCCCAGGAAATCACCTTCTAATGTCAGGGTTTTTTTCTTTTATTAATAGAAAGACTCATGCAAATATTTTGGAAATATGGCAGATGTGTCGCAACTTTCCTTACAATATTGTGACATTTTTAAGTTACAAAACACCACTTTACCTCTGTGGTATTGAGCCGTTCAGATTTGGTAACATGTTGGAGGTGAATGTTATTTCATAGCAAGTAAACTGGACTTGTAAGACTACTTTATACCAGTCCCCAGCAAACTTTTGACTGCAAGGTCTGTAAATCATTTGTAATAGAGCCTTTTTTATGTTTTTATTTACTTGTATCTGTATTTTGTTCTTTACTTTTATATTGCATCTGCTATATATTGGGTTTGTCTTTTATTCTGAAGCACTTTGTCTGTTCTTGAAAATGTTCTATGTAAACAAACATTATCACTATTTTGAAGGAATAAAGAATAATTTGCGAATTTTGGGAAATTCATTCCCATAGCCTAGAAATAGTTGCAGCACAAATACACCCAGGAAACCCACAAGTGTAGTGTAATACAAATACAAAACAATTAGCTAACCGTTATCTCCATACTGAATTGACAGATGTGAGAGTGGTGAGGTGAGAGTCAAACTTTTTCGGTAAGTAAATGTGTTTTTCTTCCAAAATGTGTCTTCCTGGGTGTGAGCTAAGGCTGTATGTAACTACAATGTGAACATGTTAATTTGTGAACCATCAGAAATTGCAATACTTTTTTTAAACAAAGGTACATACACTGAACAAAAATATAAACGCAACACTTTTGTTTTTGCTCCCATTTTTCATGAGATGAACTCAAAAATCTAAAACATTTTCTATATACACAAAATAACCATTTCTCTCAAATATTGTTCACAAATCTGAAAAGATCTGTGATAGTGAGCACTTCTCCTTTGCCGAGATAATCCATCCCACCTCACAGGTGTGGCATATCAAGATGCTGATTAGACAGCATGAATATTGCACAGGTGTGCCTTAGGCTGGCCACAATAAAAGGCCACTCGGAAACGTGCAGTTTTGCTTTATTGGGGGGGTCTGGGGGGGTCCGAAAACCCTAGGGTTAAACCCCTAACCCTAACCCTAACACATGTCACCCATTGAGCATGTTTGGGATGCTCTGGATCGGCGTATACGACAGCGTGTTCAAGTTCCTGCCAATATCCAGCAACTTCGCACAGCCATTGAAGAGGAGTGGACCAACATTCCACAGGCCACAATCAACAACCCGATCAACTCTATGCGAAGGAGATGGGTGACATGTTAGGGTTAGGGTTAGGGTTTAACCCTAGGGTTTTCGGACCCCCCCCAGACCCCCCCAATAAAGCA